GAGTGTGTCTGTCCATTTTTATACTCTCGTACCTTGCCCAGTGCCTAGCATAGAAGAAAATGGATTGAATGGCAGTGCCAGGGAGTTTGAAAAATGACTCAAGCTTGGGAATGGAGAAGGTGCCTTCCAAATACCCAGAGAAGGGTGATCTGGAAGAAATCTAGGGGCCTGAGAAACTGAGCACCTAGGAACTGGGATTTCTTCTTCATGTTATTATTGCTCTTACAGTGAGAAAGTTGCATCTTCAAAACTCACTTGTGCGTGTCACTTAACTAGCAGTTGGTAGAGGTAGGGTTGGACTTAGTCATCTGACTCAGGTCACGGGTTCTTCCTCAAGGGCCTGGGACTGTGGTCTGTCTGTCTCAATGCAGAGTTTGTAGAAGAGTTCCAGAGGTACCTTATTATGCTCCTTTCTCTGCATTGTAACTTTTCAGATAGTTATCTATAATTTGTCAGAGATGGGTTTTTGAGCAACTTGTGGTTGGAGGTATATGGTAATTGAACAATTTTATTTTCCAAACATAGTTTCTGAGTGGACTTTGCCAGTGCTGGATCTGGGAACTAGTGAAACAGCCTCTCTTCCCCCTTCTCTGCTCTGTTCCCAGGGGATATTTCCTCTGCTTGGGAGCAGCCTCCCCTTGGAGCCAGAATAGCCCAGGTATCAGGCTGAGCGCATAGATGAGAGCCTGGAAGCCAGTTCCCCTAGGAAGCCAGCTGTGCAGAGTGCTCCAGTCTGAGCTTCAAGTGTAAAGGCTTTTAGCCTGGTACTCAGTTCCCCAGGCCCCTAGAGTATATCCTGACCATGGTGAAGCTGGCCTGGATGGTGAGTTGGTATCTCTTTTCTTCTGACTTAGTGGGCCCTTCTGGGGTTCTCAGCAGTGCCTGCCAAGATGCCTTGACCCCTGGGCCACTTCTGAGAAAAGCAGCTTTGTTCTCGAAGGAAGGTTCCTGAAGAAGTAGTAATTTTGGTCCACTCTTCTCTTAGTTACATCTTCACAGGATTTTTCTTCTTGGCCCAAGCAAATGTCAGAGTCATCCACATTTTTCCTTCTTACTAAGTTGGCTCGGTGGTCTCATATTCAGATGACATGGTAGCATTTCAGAGCAGTGGGTCCACCCTCCTCAGATGGGAAATTCAGGGAAGGAAATAATATACTTTTCATCATGTTCTTTTAATACATTTCAGTTTCTGGTCTTCCCACAGAGATTCTGCCCTTTCCCTGGGGGCCTGCCCTGGAGCTGCTAGAGCATGTCCCGTGTTGTTTTAATGGGTTGCGATTGGTTATTGTGACCATTGTTACTATGGGCACAGTGGAAAGCTGAGGCTTAGCAAGTTGATTCCTTGCAGCACTGTGCTCCCTGAGGACTCTGAGAACTGGCCTGGGAAAGCTTCCAGAGGCTGCCTCTTCTCTCCCTTCTTTCTGTTGCACACACAGCCATATGTTGCATATACCAGGCACATACCTTGGCACTGGGCTGGTGCAGGTAAAGAATATCTCACCAGAGCCAGAGTGAATAGATGCTCTGGTAGCAGGATTATTTACCATTGTCACCAGTTTTTAAAGATTTTTTTTTCCACAGCAGATAAGGAAGGTTTTCCTCTACTTTATGATGGATGAAAACAAGGCTTGCAGTTGGTTTCTTTTTTTTCCAAGAGCATTTGCAACATTCACCTTGGAGGGATGTTTCGTTGCTGTCGCCATCAGATAACGGACCTTAGGCCTGCTGGCTGCTTCCTCCCTTACCAACTCCCATTCCATCCATTACCGAAAACTACAAGCCTCAGAGCTTGAGTGAAGTCAAAGTAATAAGAGATGGTGCATTTCATGTTGAGATTAGTAAAGAATTCTAAGTGGTATCAAGAATTAGGGTTTGGCTTAGTTTATCATTAAGACCAATTACTTACTTACACTTATTGTAGCAATAAAGAAGATGGCCTCCAGGATTGAGGTCATTAGTAGCCATAAATAAATGTGTTTAACTTTCACATCCAGATACACTTCATAATGGCCAAGGTGATGAGAATTCCAGTCAGAGTGGGAGAACGACTGTTCCTGAATTGTTCAGTTTCCATGAAGGTGGTAGCCCAGTCCAGAGTGCACATTCACACTGGAAATATGTTCCATATATCAGTTGTGTTGTCTCTCACATCCATTCTCTTGTTTAAGGTGCTTAACAAAATTTTTTTTGCCCTTAAGCCTTGTTTTTAACATCTATATTGAAATGTAATTCACATACCATAAAATTCACCCATATAAAGCATACAGTTCAACTGTATTTTATATGTTTATGGAGTTGTGCAACCATCACTAGCATCTAATTCCAAAACCTTTTCTTGACCTCTAAAAGAAACCCCATACTCAGTGCAAGCACTCCCCATTCTGCCACCTTCAACCCAATGGCAGGTAACCACTCATTTACTTTTCTGTCTCTATAGATTTTCCTATTCTGGACATTCTATAAAAATTTCATCCATATTGTAGAATGTATCAGTACTTCATTCCTTTTTATGTCAGAATAATATTCCATTGTGTGGATATGCCACATTTTGCTTATTAATTCATCCATTGATGGACATTTGGGTTATTTCCACTTTTTGGCTATTATGAATAATGCTGTTATAAACATTTGTGTACAACTATTTGGATGGACAATGTTTTCATTTCTCTTGGATATATACATAGGAGTGGATCATGCTGGGTCTTAAGGTAACTCTGCATGTAACTTTTTGAGGAACTGACAAACTGTTTTCCAAAGTGGCTGTACCATTTTACATTCCTGCCAGTAATGAATGAAGGTTCTAGTTTCTCCACAGCCACACTAGCACTTGTTTTTATCTGTGCTTTTGATTGTAGCTATCCTTGTGCATATGAAGTCATACCTCATTGTGGTTTTGATTTGTATTTCCCTAATGACTAATGATGTTGAACTTGTTTTGTGTGCTTATTGGCCAATTTTTTATGTTGGAAAAATGTCTATTCAAGTCCTTTTTTAAGTGGGTTTTTAATCTTTTTATTATTGAATTATAGGAGTTCTCTGTATATTCTGGATACCAACTACTCAGCAGATACTTGATTTCCAAATAATTTCTTCCATTCTGTGGAAGTACTTTTACTTTCTTGATGGTATTTTTTATAGCACATGTTTTATATTTTGATACAATACAGTTTCTTTTTTGTTGTTATGCTTTTGGTGTTTTGTGTAAGAAATCATTGCCCAAATAAAGATTTACCTCTATTTTTTCTAGGCTTTGCTTTTGTAATTTTAACTCCTACATTTAGGTCTGTGACCCCCTTTTACTTCCTTTTTGTATATGATATGAGGTAAGGGTCCTGCTTTATTTTTTTGCATATGAATATTCAGTTGTCCTAGCACCATCTGTTGAAAAGACTCTTCTTTTCCTGTTGAATTGTCTGGGCATCGGTGTTGAAAATCAGTTGACCAAAATGTGTGGGTTTATTTCTGAACTCTAAATTCAATTTCACTGATCTCTATTTCTATTCTTATGTCTATACATATTGTCTTTGTCTTGATTACTATGGCTTTATAGTATGTTTTAAAATTGGTAAGTTCAAGTCTTCCAGCTTTATTCTTTTTCAAGATTGTTTTGGCTGCCCTGGGTCCCTTGAATTGCCATACAATTTTAGGATTAGCTGTCAGTTTCTGCATTTGCTGGGTATTCTTTTCAGTCTGTAGATCAATTTGGAGAATATTGCCATCTTAACTATTTAGAATTTTCTAATTTGTGAACATGGGATGTCTTCCTATTTATTTATGTCTTATTTAATTTATTTCAATGATGTTTTATAGTTTGCAGTATACAAGTTTTCTACTTTTTTGTTAAGTTTATTCCTAAATATTCTTTTCTTTTTCTGTTGTTGTTAATGGAATTTTAAAAAATTTATTTTCAGATCATTCACTGCTAGTGTATAGAAATAAAATTGATCTTTAAAATATTACTCTGTACCCTGGAAACTTCCTTGACTTTGTATATTAGTTGAAGTTTTTTTAGTGGAGTCCTTAGGATTTTCTACGTATAAGATTATACCATCTGCAAGTAAAAGGTATAGTTTTACTTCTTCCTTTCCAGTCTGGTTGCACTCCTAAGTTTTAGTCTTTGTCTTCCTTTCATTATTTTAGCATAAAATAATGTTCCCTAAAGGATAGTGACATTAGCTAACTGTATATGGTACATGAATGGACATTTTTCACTTTATAAGTACTTGAATACCTTAATGTATATTAATTTTATTTTAATAGATACTAAAAAAATGTGGTTGCTCAGTGTTATGGTCTTGGCTCAGATGTCACTTTATCAGAATGCTCTTCCCTGAACATCTTTAAAATAATAGACTTTCTTCACACTCCCTCTACCTGGCTTCATTTTTAAGTGTACACCACTTATCATCACTGTACATGCTATACATCACACACGTGTGGCACATGCATACTTATTGTCTGTTTCTCCTCACCAGAATGTAAGCTCCTGAGGGCAGAGACTTTCATTCTTTGCAGATTGGCAGTGCCTAGGACATGGGTGCTCAGGGAATATTTGTTGAATGAATGAATGGATGATTGTTTAGAACAAACTTAAGTATTTAAAGAAAAGCAAGTCAGTTTCAAGTTGATTTAAGAGTAAACTGAATAGTTGTTCAGGAGATAAGCAAATATGGCAAAATTCTTAAAGAGCATATGGCATGCTGGAAGTTTTGGAAACTCTAACTTAAGAAATGAGAAGAGGTAGGATGGAGATAGAGTGTTTTTTTAAATGATGATGATTTTCTGTGAAGTGATGTTATTTGTTAGCCTTTTCCCCAACTCAGATCAGGGGTGCTTGAGGCTCTGAAGCTGTAACACACAGAAATAATTATATGTAGGACAGTGGTTCCAACCATTCACTATAGAAACCCTCTTGGCAGTTTTGGAGGTCATCTGGATATGTTTGAGGTGCTTTTGGCTGCCCATGGAAACTTGGCTTATGGGTCTTGTCCTCTTTTCAGGGCTCTGGGTTTGCAGAGAGCCGAAATGACCATGACTGCGAACAAGAATTCCAGCATCACCCACGGAGCTGGAGGCACTAAGGCCGCTCGAGGGACGCTGAGCAGGTGAGTAGGGGAGTACTGCTGGGGGAATGGAACTCTGGAGAGGGGCATCAAGGGACAGCCAAATGGCCTGGGTCCTGGGTAGAATCCTAGGAGGAAGTGTATATGATTATCTGTCATGATTCTGACAGTCATCCAGGTGAATGATCTAGGCCTAGTTCATGCTAACCATGAAGCAAAAGTCATCCCTAGTACATATGCCATTTTTCAGGTCTGTAAGTCTCCATAGGAGAGAGCAAACAGGGCCCTAAAGGAAGCTTTGCCTTGTGCTATTGGAGGAGCTCCAGGAACAGAACCAGCAAGGAGCAGCTGGTATTCTTCTGGCTCTATCCTTTTCCCTTGATGTGTACAACTTAGGGGTATGCCTGAGCTAGGTTGCGCTATAGTGAGAAAGGCTGATCACATTGGGGGTAGGAGTAGGGAGCCAGTTATGCATATTAGCACAAGTTCTAAGCAGAAGTCTCTATTTCTATAAGAATTTAGGCTGGCCTGCAAAAAAGCATCTTGGAGAATTTTAGTCAGTATAAGCTATTATCCACTTTCCTGGTTTTGTCTTCTTTTTAAAAGTGGAAATGTAAGGTCACAGAAAAACCATGAATTTTGGAATCATGTAGAATTGGCTTCAAATCCAAGTTCTAACTATTTACCAAATAGTGAGGTCTTAGGGCATTTTCATATGCCCTCTAAAATCTTGTTCACTTATCTATAAAATAATAATAACAGTACTTATCTCACAGAGTTGCTGTGAGGATTGCATGAGGTAATATATGTCTGCTTAGCATAAAGCTGCTCAGTAATTAGCTCCCTCTGGGATACAAGCTTCCAGAGCTGGCAGATGGCTGTATAACTCTCACCAGGACGTCTCTGGTGTTGGCTAAGGCTGGATGCTGATGTTCTAGAATACCCTTCTTGCTCTTTAATTAAAGCCACATGCCTTTTATATCCCCTTCTGCTGAATCTCAGGTGGGCAGATTTGGCTTTTGGGACCTCATCCACTCACATGGATAGCTTTGAGAAGGATACTCAGCTTAGGCTGGGATAAGGCTAGTTCCTTCCTTGGATATCTGGGTTGTGCAGTGCCGGGCTGAGTCCAGTGGGGTGTCCACACCCAGCTGTGGCTAGAGGTGATAGTAGAGGTTTAGTTCATTCAGAGCTGGAGTTCTGATGTGGTTGGTAGGATGTAGCCTCTGGGGAGTGACTGGTATGAATGAGGCAGGAGGAGCAGCACACAAGCAAGGTCTGGTGCCAAGGGAAGTAGTCTGAGCAGACGATGCCGATCGAACAGAGATCAGTAGGTTCTGACTTTAAGTACATATGAGTGTGGGGCTCAGACAAATTGAATATGCATGCTGTGGCCGCAGGACCAGTAAGAACACTTTCTGCCCATGCAGCCTTCTAAGCTACACTGGAGTTGCTTGCATACTTGCTTGCCTGAACTGGGTGAGGCTGAGAATGGCAGGGACCACAAACTTCTTGGGTAAAACAGATAGAAAAACTAATGGTTGCAGGACATGCTGGTGGCCAAGGCAGAGTTCTCCTCTGGATTCCAGAATCTTTGTCATCCAATGTCTACTTCTAGGGAATCATTTCCCTGGGTTCTTAGCAGTATGGTGGTATGTCTAAGAATGACTGACTTGGTAGATGGAGACTAGAAATTCAGGTTCCCATTTTTTTTATCTGAAACTGTAGATGAAATAAAGCATTTTATGTGATTGTATAGTTTTATTTGTATAATTTTAAAGAAATATATAGTTCTAATTTCAAAGAAATAGTATAATTAGAACCTGAATTAGAAATTATCATGTCCAGCAGCCCTGAACTCCTATAAGAATTCATTTTTTCTTCTAATTACCAGTATGCTGGAGGTGGGCTGGGAGATGCAGTATTTATATCAGGCCACAAAGCAGAATCAGGACTGCTGATGGGTACCCCAGTTTCTGTTTGGAATATATACATACACGTTTAAAACGTTTTTGGTAATTGCTCTTCTTTTAGCTTCCCAGCATGTTTGCCACCATAACGTGATGGATGGTATTTGCAAATAGCTAAGTCTCTTACGTGCCAAAAGTAAGCTTTTTTCCCCTCCTCTCTAAATCTTCACTTCCCTTCCTGCTGCGATTCTGCTTCCCTCCCTCCCTCCTTTCCTAGGCCCTTGGCCTGGAGTCACAGGCCTCTGTGGCTAGCTACGCCCTCCTCACAGAGACCACCATTGGACTGTAAGGGTTATTTTGAAATTGTCAGCTGGTAGTTTCTCTGGCTGCCTTTATCCCCAGCCACATCTGGGGGGTATTCTTTGGGCTGAGTAGGGCAGTAAATCACCAGTTCATTTGGGAAGTCATTGTCAGTGAACTGGAGGGCTTCTCCTAGGTGTCAGACTCTGTGATGAACAATGGAGAACAGAGAGGGATGATCCATTCTTTCTTTAAGGCATTTACAACTTGAATCCATGACCTTGGCACCTGAATTTCTCAGTCTGACCTTTCAACAGATGTTTGTCAATCACCTGGGACCCCTTTATTATTGCTGGCCCAGGAGACCCAGTGAGAAGAGAGTCCCTGGTGTGACTGGAACTATGGGGAGTGCAGGGGTCCTGGGGCCTTGAGAAGTGGGGTCTTTAACTCCCTGGTTGCTTTGGGGACCTCCACACATCTGCATGGAGACAGAGGATCCTGTGGTACTGAGAAGCATTTGTCTCAGTTTGGGGGCAGGGGCTACTCTGAACCATGGAAAACTGGTGGGGAAAAGCAGATTGGACCCTGTGAAACTATCAACATAGGTATTTGCAAGGCTGTTGCCTTAATTTGAGTAAGACTTTACCTGGTACTACTCAGCCAGTATGGGTGAAAAATCTGGGATTCCACTCCATGATTAGGTTTTTAGGGTGTTTTGCTATTTATTCTCTTCCTTTCCCTTGTAGTCCAGTCTTGATTTGGCAGGTATATAGGAGGAAATCTAAGCCTTTTCATTGGACCACCACCATTTTGTTCCTTGCTATACTTTGGTCTGGCAGGTTTCCTTTTTCTCTTTGCTGATGAGGCTGAATGGGCACATTGCCTCATTCTTAGGGGCCAGAGGCACTTTCCTCACAGGCTGTTTCCACTCCAGCTTACAAGATTTGGCTGCATCTAATTCTGGGAGGTGGGATTCTTAAAGTTCCTTTGGACTCCAGAGGCCAGGCTTTATCATGTTGGTGGTGGTGACCTGGGTGAGGCCAAAAGTAGCATGATGACGTGCAAACGAGGATGTGTTATGCTTAAAGCTAATTCATCTTTCTAGTTCAGAAGAACTTTGCTGCTTGTTCTATGGAGATTTCACTTCTTCTGTAAGACCTGGCAGGCAGGAGGGGCTATTCTTGGGAGACTGTCATGCCTGCTAAGTTCCTTGACTGCTTCTTTTGCTCAGAAACTCCAGTGCCTTGGTCACTGTGACTTGGAAATGCAGGCTGTCAGTATTGTGTTTGGGAACCTTGCGTTTGGATGTAGGTGTGGGAAACCTGGGTGCCTACAAAAATGTACACTTCTTGGAGTCAAGGACTTTGACTGCCTTCTACTTCACCTGAGCCTGGAACAATGAATGGTACATAGAAGAGAGGAACTGTTTGTTGACCAATTGACTAGATGGCTGGGAGATGAGCCTCTTAGAGCATAGGCTGCTATACTATTTGACTCCTTGTAGGCCTTTCATAATAGGTCTTGTTAACTTTGGACTCCCTTTCCATTCAGTCCATAGATTCTTAGAAAGGCAGAACCGAAAAGGAAAACCTTAGAGCTCACTGGGTCCAACCCACTTGCTCTACCGATTGGGAAACTGATAAAAAGAGAAAGGGAGCTACTAATGGGAAAAAGAATACAAGCCCAGCCCTCTTGATCCTTCTGTTATTTTATTGTACCACTACATTCACCTCCCTATAAACATTACTGGTATCTCCCTGCTCAAAAGTACTGTCCTCTATGATACAGTCAAACATGGCCTGACTTGTAAGGCTTTCATAAAAAGCCATGATCTTTCTTTCTACTCCTATCTTTCACTGCTCTCTAATTGAGACCTTACATTTCTGTCAGTTGGATGCATATGTTACTTTCTTCCCAGTGCTTTTCTTGATCACCCAGCTAGTAAGGATTCCCCCTTCCCTCTGTATTTTCTCTTAGAACCCTTGGTTTACAACCCAAATGGCAGTTACCATATAGTACCTCATAGGAAGGATACTTTTATGGGTCTTATTTGCCCTGCTCAGTTGGAGTTGTTTGGAGGCCAAGCATATACTCTTTTGGAATGTTAGAGTTGGAGGGGAACTTGGGGTTCATTAGGCTCAGTTACTTGATGTTTAATATGAGGAAGCTAAAGTCCACATAGCTAATTGTCAGTGGAACCATAATTTCAACTCATATTTGCAGGTTTCTCTGTAGGGAGAGACCTTGGTTTGTGATATGGTGAAACCCAAAGAAATCTTCAGGTCCCATCGCCAAGGTGTGGACCCTGTGCCTTAGGTTTCCAGAAGAGGGTAAGAGCTTAGAGAGAAGAACAGTCTCCTGAGCGTTGTGGCAGAGCCTGAACTGGCATATCAGGCTGCTGCTCAGGAGGACCTGTGGCCGTAGCCTCCCTGTTACCTGAGATGCTTCTTAGAATCCAACCATGATGTCATCAGTATTGGTCTGGCTTATTGCTACATAACAAATGACCCTAAACTTTGTGGCTTAAACATTAACGGTCTTTTTTTCCCTCACAAACTGTAATTTAGATAGGGTTCATTAGGGAAAGCTAGTCTCTATTCCTTGCAGCATCAGTTGAGGTGACTCAGTGGCTAGGGGCTAGAATCATCTGAAGGCTTGTTCACTTACACGTCTGACTTTTGATGTTGGCAGTCTGCTGGGACCTCAGCTGGGGAACACCTACATGCAGCCTTTGCATTTGGCTGCGTGCTTTCATAGCATGCTGTCTGGGCTCTAAGAGTGAGCATCTCAAGGGAGCAAGGCAGAAATGCATGGCATTTTAATGACCTAGCC